GGAAGTGTCACCTCCTTGGACCTATTCGTCATGCATCTGCTGATGCACGATAAAGTGCCATTGGCTTTTTTGATGGCTTCGTCACACTGCCGACTCATGTTCATCTTGGAGTCCACTAGGACTCCAAGATCCCTTTCCACTTCCGTGCCACCCAGCAGGTCATTCCCTAGGCTGTAGGTGTGCTGGACATTTTTCCTCCCTAGGTGCAGCACTTTGCATTTCTCCTTGTTGAACTGCATTCTGTTGTTTTCTGCCCACTTGTCCAACCTGTCCAGATCTGCTTGCAGCTGTTCCCTGCTCTCCGGCGTGTCCACATCTCCCCATAGCTTTGTGTCATCTGCAAACTTGGACAGAGTACATTTCACTCCCTCGTCCAAGTCACTGATGAAGACATTAAAGAGTATCAGTCCAAGGACCGAACCCTGTGGAACCCCACTGCCCACACCCTTCCAGGTCGAAACCAACCCATCCACCACGACTCTCTGGGTGCGGCCCTCCAGCCAATTCGCCACCCACCGGACTGTGTAGTCATCCAAGTCACAGCCTCTTAACTTGTTCACTAGTATGGGGTGGGATACCGTATCGAAAGCCTTCCTGAAGACTAAGTATACAGGTTCAGGTCTTCAGTCTCTCCTCATAGGGCCTGTCCTGCTGCCCTCTCACCAAGCGGGTGGCCCTCCTCTGAACCCTCTCCAGGCTGGCCAGATCCCTTTTTAAGTGCGGCACCCATGACTGGACACAGTACTCCTACTGCAGCCTGACCAAAGTCGCATAGAGGGGGAGTATCACCTCTCTGGACTGGCCTAGGTGCACCTTTGGATACATGACAAGGTATGGCTGGCCTTGCTGGCTGCGGTCCGGCATTGGTGGCTCATATTCATCTTAGAGTCAATAATGACTCCAAGATCCCTTTCCGCCTCTGTGCTTTCAAGAAGGGAACTCCCCAGCCTGTATGTATGCTATGGATTCCTTCTCCCAAGGTGTAGCACCCTGCATTTGTCTACGCTGAACCCCATCCTAAGGTCTGACAGTGCCTATCTTTTTTTTTTATTATTGCAACTAAATTAAGTAGGGCATTGCTACATGTTCTTGATAAGCTACACTGACTTCTAGGGGCTAAAGCCTGTTAACAATTACTGCCTTAATTACTGTATTTTATTGGGACAGATGCACTGTAGCATCATGATCTAAAGCTTCTCCTTGTGCTTACAAAGCCGATTATACTTATGACCTAAGATGGAACATCTGCTTCAACTGAAAGCATAAACAAAAAAAATAAGAAAGAAAAATACACTTACGAAGTTGTGTGTTGTGAGTGGAACATGATCAAGGAAATCTACTTGCAGTTCCTCTCCAATCAAACTGGCAGCATCTGTATTCCAATCCAAACGTGCTTTTTTACTAAAAAGGAAAACACATACTTAGGAGAACTGAGAAAAAACTGGTATGTTCAAAAACATAAATAGTGCACATGCCCCGTAATAGGAAAACAAAATACAACTACATTTTTAGAGTAAGTCATATTTCAGTTATTTTTACAGAGTTCAAACTACCAATTTTGCCACAATATCAGATCAACTTAAGTGGTTTACATTATTGTTTCTAAACCAGGGAAGGGCAAAATACATCCCACAGGCCAAATACGGCCTGCCAAGCCATTCTATCCAGCCCACGGGGCCCATAAAAAAATTTAGAAAATTAATATTTATCTGCCCCTGGCTACCAGTCAAAGATGACAGGAGTCAGGGACAGTAGGACTCAGGGGAAGCCATGGCAAGATCCTGCATGCCTGCAAGGCCCACCTGGAAGCCCCTGCCTAACGGAAGCTTCTGACCTGGGACCATGGGGCTGTTCATGCCTCTCTGCACCAGAGCAGGAAATTCAGGTAGGAAGCGGGGGAGCAGGGAGGCACGGAAAAACCATGGGCAATTGCCCCAGTTCCCAGGACTACTAGGCCAGCTCTTGCTGAGTCCTACAGTCCAGCCACGCAGCTGGGAGCCACATGGTGCAGAAGTGGCAGGCAGGACGGGTGAGCCTGGAGCCAGCATGGGGCGTGCAGGGTTGCGGCTGCATGCGCTGGTCCCTGCCACTACCGCTGCATGCCCAAGGGTGGTAGGACACACCACGGATGGGCAGTGCAGAGCAGGTATGGGGTTCACTAGGGCTACACGCTGCTGACGGTAGTGGGAAGGCACCGCTGGGTGCTTGAGCTCTGGACTGTTGCGGGGTGGGGGCAGGTGCTGACCAGCTCAAGAGGGCTGCGTGCAGGGGTCTCCCATGCACACCCCACATACCCTCAAACCCTTCCTGCAAACCCCACAGCCACACCCTCCCCCCCACACAATCACACCCCACAAATATTACACACACACACACACACACACACACACACACACAAACCCCCCTATATCCACTCACACCTCCCTGATACCCCACACACTACACAAGAGTAAGACTGCATTTTGAGCTACTATGTAATCATTTCTACATATACAGCACAAACAGACAAGTCAGGACAAAAATATATATTTTTGATTAAATTAAAAATACATTATTATGGGTGTTCGACTTTTAGTATAATTTATTTTTCCCCCCATTCTAAGATGGCAAACCCAGGTCTCCAAAGGCGTACTTCCAGGGGCAAGGGGAGGGACTCCTGGTGGCAAAGGTCCCAAGATGGCAACCAGGGGGTGAGGCACCTGGCAACCCTAACGCCCTCCCCACCCACGGAGTGGCTCCTTCCCACACCCTC